TTGTGTTGCCTTTTGCCCATTCATTAAACAAAATATGAAGGGATATTACACTATTTCATATCGTTAATTCTAAACAAATAAAGCAACGATAGATACCCTTGTCTGACTCCCCATACAAAACAATTATTTCGGCACATTTGGTTTTTGTGACCTTGAACAAAGGTCAAGGTTATCAAAATTAACAACACTTAAACTCATTTACATGAACAACCTACTTGCCAAATATCAACACCCAAGGACCTTAAGTCATGAAGAAGTTAAAGGAAATGTGGAAAGAAAGCTATGTTTTTCTTTTTTTGAACCCTGAAAGTATATGACAAATTTACCGGTTTTCATTTTTTTTTTAAGTTCCGGATGTTAAAAGATATTATTGGTAGCCAACTTTTTAACAAGTAAGAAAAATAGACAAGTTTTAGAACTATATGAATTAACGTGTCAAAAATGGAATTTTCTCATTAAAAATGAAATTTCACACACTTTTCTGCTTGAATCTTAAATAAAAAGAACAATTCTTTATTGAAATAGTGTAATATTCGGTATCTAAATAACAGTTGAAATACGTTGCACATGATGATGATATAGTTTTATAGTGATTGTTTCATTTAAATGCTCTAGGAGGAATTGTATTACTGCATCTTTAACACCCACACAGGTGTAAGCCCATTCATCATCAAATGAATTCTGAAACTAACTGTTCCTGATTTAAGCTTCCTATACCCATACCTACTATCTCCTTCAAGTTTGATGAATTTAAAAAAGGAAAAGGACTGTGGAAATTTAATAATTCACTGCTTCATGACATTAAGTATATTGAATTAATTAATAAGGTTATTTTTGAAGTGAAATTACAGTATGCCTTACCTTTGTTTAATACTAAGTATTTAAATATTATTTCTGACAGTGAGATTGAATTCCAAATAAATGACCAACTTTTTCTGGAAACACTTTTGTTTGAAATTCGGGGCAAAACTATATCTTACTCTTCTTACAAGAAAAAACAGTCACATATACAAGAAAATCAGCTTATAGAGTCAATTAAATTGCTAGAAGTTCATGACAATATAGACTTTGAACAAGTAGACGGGAAAAAAGGAGAATTAGAAAATATCAGAAAACACAAAATAAAAGGAAGCTTTATTCGAACAAAAGCTAAGTGGGTTGAAGACGGAGAAAAACCAACAAAATATTTTTTAAATTTAGAAAACAGAAATTTCACTTCAAAAATAATTCCTAAGGTAGAAAAAGATAATGGAGAAATAAAAGAGATCAAGCAGATATTTTGAATGACGTAAAGTTATTTTATGAAAAATTATTTTCAAGAGAAAGTAACATTGAGGATGTAAATCTAGATGTTTTTTAAATAGTGTTACTACTGAAAAATGAAAAGTCCAAGGTCAGGAGGTTTTACTGCAGAATTTTTTTAATGTTTTTGGGGTAAGTTAGGTAATTTTATTGTGAGATCATTTAATTTTGGATTTATGAAGGGTGAATTATCAGTAACTCAAAGATAGGGAATTGTTATATGTTTACCGAAGGGAGATAAACCCCGGGAATTTCTAAGAAACTGGAGACCCATCACTCTACTTAATGTAATATATAAGACAGCTTCAGGGTCAATAGCAAGTAGATTAAAAAGAGTTTTGGATAAATTAATAAACAGTGATCAGACAGGTTTTATAACGGGGAGATATATCGGGGAAAATACAAGGTTAATTTATGATATCATGCAGTATGCAGAAGAAAATGAAATGCCGGGTATGCTTTTAATAATTGATTTTGAAAAGGCTTTTGACTCCGTTAGTTGGGAAGATATTAACAAAATGTAGGTTGTTTTTAAAAATTATGGAGTTGTTACGCGTAAATGAATTAAAACCTGACATGCAAATACTATCTCTTCTATCAATCAGGGTGGAAATCTATCAACATTTTTTAGTATAAAAAGAGATTGTCAACAAGGCGATCCAATTACCCCTTACATATTCATTTTGTGTGTTGAAATATTAGCAATAAGGTTAAGGAACAATAATAATATTAAAGGAATTAACATAGAAAATATCCCTACACTAATATCTCAATATGCAGACGATGCATCAATCATTTTAGATGGTTCTAAAAGTTCTTTAAAAGAGTCATTTATGGAATTAAAGAATTTTGCAAAAACATCTGGGCTAAAGGTTAATAAAAGCAAAACTCAAGTAATATGGATAAGTAGTAAAAAAAAAATAGTAGAGTCACATACTTTCCAGAATGGGATCTACAGTGGGCAGTTACAAGATTCACAGTTTTAGGTATTGCATTTAATGTGGATTTGCATCAAATGCCTAAACTAAATTACGACAAAAAATTAGTAAAACTTAAGTCATTAATTAAGATATGGAGAAGAAGGATTTTGACACCTATAGGAAGAATCCATATACTTAAGTCCCTCCTCATATCTCAGTTTAATAATCTTTTTATTACTTTGCAAAATCTTGATGATACATTTATTAAGAAACTAAATACAGAAATATATAATTTCCTATGGAACAGCTCATCAGACAGGATAAAAAGAGATGTAACTATTAAGAACTATAATGAAGGGGGCCTGACAATGATAGTCACAATCTTTTATTGAATCTTTAAAGCTTACATGGATTCGACGGCTGTTTACAAATAAAGGGAAATGGCAATCAATTTTTAAAACTTTTGGAAATACAGATATTTTTGCAAATTGTGGTACAGATTATATTTTAAAATGCCAAAACTCTTGTAAAAACTTATGTTGGAAAGATGTTCTATTAAGTTGGAGTAAGCTTTCCAAGAAAACAGAATGTTTTATGAATAAGAATAGTAATGCTCTCAAAACACGTATTTGGTACAATAGTTTAGTAACAATAGAAAATAAGAGAATTTTTTACAGGGATTGGTATAGGAAAGCGGTAATTAATGACGTAGTTAAAGAAAATAGCAACGGATTTTGTTACAGCTATCCAGAATTCATAGAAAAATTTAATAGCCGTACTAATTTATTCTAAAGATGACATTTCTGCTGAAACTATAAAAAGGCCATACATACCTTCTAACTTAGAATATTTTTTCCAACACAAAAAGGGAGTAAAAGATTTTTATAACTGTTTGTGTCAAAATAACATAACATCTACTGGGAAAAGAAAATGGGACGCAATGTTTGATTTTGATGAAGAAATATGGAGGAAAATATACTTAACACCATTCAAAATTTGTAAAAATACAAAATTACAATGGCTTCAACTTAGAATAAATCAATATATTCTAACTACAAATTCATATCTTTATAAAATAGGCTTAGTCGATAGTCCATTCTGCAGTCGTTGTAATACTGAGAATGAAACGATATTTCATGCATTATGGGAATGTGAAAAAGTACAATTTTTTATTTTTTGCTAGATTTATTATTCATTCCCTTTAATTACAACAAGGATTCTTTTATCTTTGGATTTTATGAGGGAAAAAACAATGTTGATAACTTAATTATTTTAGTTATGAAGCAATATTTGTATAACACAAAATGCCAGGAAAAGAGCCTGTCTTTACCATCTTTGAAAAACTATATTAAAGAAACAAACCCACTCAAAAATATATAGCTACTGGTAAAGGGGAAACTTATCTTACCATCTTTAAGAATGAATGAAAAAATGGGAAAGATTACTGGTTTCTACATAAAATATAGAAATACTTAGATGTTTCATTCTCTGTTTAAAAATATAAGAGATGTGTGATTTCCATGTCTGTTCTCAGCATAGACATGTTTGCCTGGTGATCACTTCCTATATTGTCACTGATATCTTAACTTGATAAACTTTATGAATATGATAGGAAGTTGTTTTTTTCTGTAAGAGTTATGCCCTTTGTTATCTCATTGCTTCAGTCTTGCTTGATTTTGCTCTCAACAAAACTTGGTATGTCTTGCTATTATGACTTGTAGTCTCATAAGTAGCATTGTTCCTTATTGAAATTTTTCTCAGGTTTTTTTATACATTTTACTTTTTATACAAGAATCTATGTCTAGAATGTGGTGTACTTTGCCTTAACATGGTTCAGAATCATATACTATGATTCGGTCTCAAGTTGGGTGAATCTTGGTATGAGTTACAATCAATGCCATATTTTTATATTCTCTATAGTGATATTTATATTCTACAAATGTTACAATATATATATGTATGGAAATATAGTTGATACAAAAACTGACCAAAGTCACTGGCAATATTAATACTAATATAATATTATAATAAAAATAACAATAACGTTAGACTTTACTCATAATTAAACGAGTTATTTCTTATAATAAATATTAAACATAAATATTTGTCATGTCAGCATGTACCCCTTCTCCCTCTTATTCAAGTTCTCTTTCTCTATGTTGATTCTATTCTCCCTTTAATTCTTCTATCTCTCGTTCTTTTCTTTCTTATGAACAGTTCATATCGCATTATATGCAGTTAACTATTACCTACTTCGAACATATTTTTTATGTATCTTTAATATAGTGTTGAATTTTTGCAAATGGAATGAGTGTGTGTATATGTATGGAAAAATAAATTGTAAATGTATTATGTACTGTTAAAAAATCTTCAAAAATAAAAGAAATAAAAAAAGAAATACAACATTTATATAGCACCCTATATAATTTGTAAAATTACTCTAAAGCGCTTTTATGGATAGTAGTATTAGTTATAATTGTGAAACAAAAACAAAGGCTTACTGTCACTTTTATACATTTGAGCAAGCAGATAATCATCGCAAAGTGGTTGCAAAGAGCCTAACATGCAGACGTAAAGAGGTGGGTTTTGATGTCCCTCTTGAATTTGGCCAGGGTATTTGACTTTATGATAGCCGATGGTAAAGTAAAAGTTCAGCGGGGCTATGCTAAAATTCTAACTCTGGACTACATGTTGTTATACTGTCGCTCAAACCAACTGAGGTACCTGCTCAATGGTAGTGCCCTGGCCCATCTGCGCTGCAGCTGTATTTTTAACAAAATGAAGGGGAGTTTACAAGATACGAAAAACACAAGGGAACTCACTAGTGATTTGCCTGCAGTGGAACAGGTATCCTAAAGTCATACATAGCATTCCTTTAAGTTTATTCAGAACTGGTAACCAGTGGATGACAATTTTTCAATGAACACGAGAATGTTATAACTAATACCAATCTGTAAAATCTAGTTTGTTATATAAATAGTATATATTTAGGATCCCTGTCTAAATGTAGGCGAAACAACAGAGAATACGTATATAATTTTGTCAAATAAATTAATACCTTTAATTTTGTTTTGGATATAACTGTAGCGCTATTGGGCCAGTGCTTCTCCGTTAAACAACTCCTCTGTAATCTTAAAAGAACAGGTATCAGATTTGCGATTGTTCAGGTTTTTATATTATGAGACAATCGAATAAATATATTTGTCTTCGATTTCGATATGACATATTCCAGGGATGAAAAGAGCGGAAGTGAACGTCACCCCCTGATATCGAGGATGCAACATTATGAAACGTGATATAAAGTGTCGAAATTTGTAAATAATGTCTAAGGAGCCCCCAGTCTTGTGGTCATGATATTCGTTTTTCATTTTTTGCTAGCTGAACAGAAATCCTGTCCAAAATGTATAAATAACTGACCTTGGCCTACTATGAAATCACGAAAGTTTCATGGATAAAATAAAATGTAAAACTATAACATCATTTGCCGTATAGCTTCCTGGATTGAGAAACTATCGGTTATATTTACATAAATTACCTTAACGCACGTTTACGATCCTACGAATTTTCTATGATGAAACCAAGTTCTAATAGTTTTAGTATTTTGCCTGCAACTTGGTGCAATAAGGCGTTATTGCCCTTTATTAAGTAAATGATCTTCACCAATATTGACGATCACGGTGGCGGAGGCAAATGAGTTAAAATCATAGCACAGATTTAAAATCAAAATGCTCTTGAAATTTCAAACAATTTACAAACATAAAATGGATCCGGCGAGATAGATCAACCCATAATATGAACATTATCAGCAGAAATGCATTTCATGGAGTATGAAAGCAGAAACTCTCGTGACGTGACACGTGGTTTAATTATGACGCCATATATGAACCTTGTTTAATGAGAGTCTTGTCGCTTCGCTTCAGATAACATGGAGAATGTCCATGCGTCAAACGTTCAAATAACTACGTTTAATTATTGGCGCCAATTTGATTGAAATAGGGCTGTTCCGCCAATGTCGTTAAAAGGACGACGCATATACAAAACGTAGTGATTAAATGTATTATTTAAGAATAAATTAAATTAAACGATTGTCCTATAGTACAAATGTATATATATGAATTGAACGTCGTTTTTAAATGTTCATGCCGGTATTAAAATTTTAAAAACGCCGTTCAATCCCTGTACATATTTTGGCCGCGGATGATTTTGTTTGTAGAAAGTAGATACAAATTTGTAGAAAGCATACATATATTACATACTATTGGTCATGAATGGAAATATAAGCAGTCTGGCAATTCTACCATATGTCGCAATATAATATGCATAAATTTTAACCAGACAAAAAGCCATGATATCCTCTTCCGTCCTTTTGATACGTGTGATAAACTCATGATTTAAAACGGTCGTTAACGCTTCCCTTGGCTTTTGTATGTTGAATTCGAAATAATGATTTTAAGTTAAAGTTAAAAGTTATAGTAAGTTTCCAATACAGGAGCCGATAGAGCTCCCGTATACACTGGACTCGAAAATCAATTAATTGTATAATTTAAAGTAATAATTATAATCAAGTTCTCCATTCTGTTCTTAAAAGTATTGATATTTGGAGCGGATACCATGTCCTCCGGAAGATTGTGCCATGTTTTGACTGTACGAAATGTGAAAAAGCTTCTCCTCAGGGATGTTGTTGCCTGATGTGGGAATTATTTTACTCTTGTACTATTTTTGACTGATTCCTCCCTCCAAAGCTTGACACAATTACATGCCTCTCTATCGTACATTCTGTTCACAATCTTGTACATTTCTATCATTTCCCCTCGAAGTCTATATGCTAGTGTTGATAGATTCAATTTCCTTAGTATTTCTGGATATTCTAAGCCTTTCATCCCCGGTAGATATTTCGTAGCGCGACGTTGTACGCTATCAAGTTTGTTTGCATATTTTAATTTGTACGGTGACCATACTGCTCCTGCGTTTTCCAACTGTGTCCACACGAGACATGTGAAGAGTGATGCACGAATGTTGTGGAGTCTAAAGAATTGGAATGATCACCTAATAATGGCAAGCATCGAATTTGCTTTTTTAACCCTTTCGCTTATGTGGTCTTCAAAGTTTTATGATTTGTCAATGACAACTCCAATGTCCTTTTCCTTGACCGATGTTTCCAGGATTTTCCTTTGTATGGCTTTTCCTTGGATCGTCCAATATGCATATATTTACATTTTCCTGGATGCATCTTAATTAGCCATTACATCCAAATTTTTCTGTAGTGAGTCATATCCTCCGGTTTAGTGATTATCTTAAAGATCTTCGTGTCGTCAGCAAACAAATACATATCGGAACATACTGTTTCAGATAGATTATTTACAAATTAACAAATAAAAAGTACTGATCCCTGTGGTACCCCAAAGGTAACAGGCTTTTATTCCGAGTGTTCATCGTATACCGTGACTTGTTGGGTACGAAAAGACAAAAACCGAGGTAATCCAGTGTACTATTTGACATGAATTTTTGTAAGATTCAACTTTAATTTTATTAGCCTTCTACTGTATGTGGAAAAGTGTCAAACGCCTTCTGGTAATCCATGTATATACAATCTACAGCTTGACCTTTGTCCAAAGATGCTGTCCACTTCAAGCAGTTGTAGTCTCGTGGATCTTCCCGACAAGAATCCATATTGCCTATCCGAGAAGTAACTGTTCGCCCGCATCCATTTGTCGATATGTTGCCGTACTATGGTTTCCATAACTTTACATATGACCGAGGTCAAACTGACAGGTCTATAATTACCGGGCTCGCGTGTGTCTCCATTTTTGCGTGTAGCACAGATACTTGCCTTTTTCCAGTCGTCCGGTATATATTCTGATCCGAGGCTTTGATTGTATGATAATGCCAGCGGAGTCGCCACAGCGATTTCCTTTACAAATGCAGGATGAATATTGTCCAACCCGGGCGCTTTATCTGGTTTAAGCTTACGAAGAATTTGAACATTTTATTTTCCTGCATGATTAAATCTGACACTTCTAGGTATGTATTTTTCTTATTAATGTTTGGTAGCGGACCATTTTCGTCATTTACAAAAACGCTGAGAAAGAAGTTCGCAAGAACATTTGCTTTGTCCTTAATATTTGACGTATTTCGAGTCTCCTGTTCGGCTGTAAAGATCGCCTATAGTGGGTTCTGTTTTTGACTTCGAGTTTACATATTTCTTGGGTCTGTATTAACTTTCATCGCTAAGCTATGTTCAAATTCCCTCCTTAGTATTTGGGTTAGTTTCTTTACCTGATTTCTGACTCTGTTATATTTCTTTCGAACTTTTGGGTCGTTGCCGATTGTAACTTTCCTTGAAAGCGAGTAATTTTTCCTGATTTTCTGAAGTGTATCTTTGTCTACCGGGAAGTTGTGCTTGTTGTTTCTTGTAATCCAGATGACTTTACTGAGTACATGTTTTTCTTCAATGATCTTTAAACTTTTTTTAAAGTATGACCAATTTTCATCTAAACTTTTAAAACTTGGTAAAAATTCATTCCAAACTACCTTGTTATTGAAAGTTCTTGTTTATCTCATCAAAGTTTGCTTTCTTGTAACATTTTTGTCACTTTTCTACATTCATCACTGGTACTGCTTTCTATCTCAAATAGAAGCACGCTGTGATCACTTTTCCCTAACGGACTTTAATCTTCAATATTTTAAACACGATTTCCGTCGAATGTTTTGTTTAAAATGTACTTATCCACATTTTCGTGCATCCACACATGCAACGAAACATGCAAGTCATGACACATGGTTTGACACATGTACATGCAATGCAAATTTTACATTTACATATACGTGTATGCGTAATCGTAAGTTGACAATGCGCGCAAACAACAAGTCTCCGAAAAAGATACAATGTTGTACACTGCTTTTGATTACAAGGACGACACCGACCTCAAACGTTCTATCGACCAATCGACGAGCCAGATACAGTGAGTGACACGCTGAAACAACCGTTCGGTTTGTAGGCGTGTTCTTTTTGAACACGGCTTGTTGACGCCGTAATGATTTTGATTGTATGCTGTGATGAAGAATTATCAAGTGGTGTGATTGTGGGGGAGGGGGCTAGTATTCAATAAAAAGTGTACAGTTTATACAGAATTTCAAACTTTAAAATGTTTGATAGTGTTTTAGACAACATATTTGTATACATTGTACATGTAGGCAGAATTGCAAAATATGGATGTTGTACTCCCTTGCCCTGGGGAAAACAGTAGAAACTTGTAGCTTTCTGAGATAATACTAAGTTTAATCAAATGAATGGTCGTGATTCCTCTTGGAGTAAAATAAGTAACAATCTTCCCACAGATTTTTTCTTGAAAAAGTGATATTTTGCTGGATAGTGTTAATTTTGCTAGCTGCGTATCATATTTGTTGAAATCCATTTGACTCTGACCCATTTGAAAAGTTACAGTTGTGAGGTGGATGAGCGATTTAGACCCACAAGGTCTCCCACTCTAACATACAGGCGTTTGTATGGAGATATGATCAACGTGTTCAAGTTTATGAATTGGCTATATGGTCTGAATTTGGTGGAGGGATTGTTCGATCCTGCTGCTCAAGGAAAATTATGTGGACACAGTAAAAAAATATTAAAACAACATTGTCATTTAAATATTAGAAACCTTTTCTTTACTCAAAGAAAAATTGATATCTGGAAAAGTCTCCCACAAGATGTTATTTCATCTCGTCACAAATTTGACTTAGAGAAAAACTTGGACAAATTCAGGAAAGATCTTGAGTTGAAGTACGATTATACAGCGTCATATATCGGCTTATTTTATGTTAACTGCATTGTTTTTCATCCTATATTGATGTGGATATAGAGGCAATAATACCTGCGTCCGCTTATAACCTATTCAATTAAACATATTAAAACCTATTACCATGGGTATTGCATTTTGACCTCTTTTAGATGGGGTTATGCCCCTATTTTGAAAGTTGTCTTCTGATCAACTCTGATATTGATGGATAGCACTATAACTCTTTGAATAAGATATTTATGTAAATGTGGCCTAATATATCATCTTATTTTGATCCCATTTTTGAATATTCATAAGCATTTTTAGGTCACCCGAGCTTTGCTCAAGTGACCTATTCTAATCGCTTTCCGTCCGTCGTTGTCCGTCATGCGTAAACTTTTTACATTTTCAACTTCTTCTCAAGAACCAGTGGATGAATCTTTTTCAAACTTGGTGGGATTCCTACCCTTACCCCTGGGGCAAGGGCGGGGCCCCAAAGGGAAAATTAACCAATATTTCAAAAATCTTCTCCTCTATATTCGGAGGTACTACATTCATTTTCTCTGCATAGAAAGAAAGATCATCAGGGGCTTTATTAAAATTGTAAATTTCAGGACCCTCAAGCTATCCGTTCTCCCTTGGGGAGGGGGTAAAGCTTACTATAGTTTATATAGGGAAATAACGCTTTTGGGTATATTTTATCCATTTTCTGCAGAAAATTACTCAACCTTAGTCAGAATCATCTTTGGTGAATGAGGATATTACATTGTAAAATTGGAATTCCTGCCCCATCCCCAGGGGCCAGGGTGGGGCCCCAAAGGGAACATTTACCAATATTTTCAAATTCTTATCCTTTCATGTATTCAAGTATTGTATTTCACTTAGTTTACATGCTGATTTCCACATCACATCTAAAAAATAAAATAAAGCTACAAGATATAACTCAGGTGACCGCTAAGGCCCTTTGGCCTCTTGCTATTTTTATTAAACATGTTTGTCAATCCTTATGATACTTGTGGTTCTCATAGGCTTTATAACTAAGAAATTGTATAGAATGATATTCTGCTACCCTTTATATAATGTGAGACCCCTGCAGATTTCGGAGTTTCTCCTAATTTTCTGCACAAGGGGCATTAAAGAAAGCAAAATGTATCTGCTGCCCTTATGGTAACACAAAACGAAGTGAACTCATGTAAAAAAAAAAATGTAATGAAATTTGTATTTCTATTTATTTGTATAGATCTAGAGGTATGCCCCTTTTTTAAACAAAAAAACTTATTCATGCAATATACCTTATTCTCAAACATACCAGAGGTATGGGGTAATGTATATATCCCTTAAAGACAGCTCAAGTTTTATATTTTTTTTCTTTTTCAGGAAATGCACAGGTTTGGCATGGAAACATGGACATCATTGTCAACTATGAAGTTCCAATAGTTGTTGGAACACCACCCAAAGAGAACCCAGACAGCCCAGAAAGTAAATCTCCAGTTGAAGTAAATTTAAACATAACAGGCCTGTCGAGAAACCATGAGATCATGGCAAAGACAATTGTGTTCTCGTACTTACAGAAGTACAGACATCCGGAGAGTGACAATTTTCTGTGTCCCTGTATCGGCGTCACATTCACCGACCTTATTATCTTCTTCTATGATTCGGAGCATGACATTCTGCTTGAGCGTTCCGTCGTACCATTACATTCGCCGAAGGATACTTCAGTGGGTAAAGTCAATTTGGTAGCCCTGGTGACAATGTGGTTAGTTCTTAACTACAGGCATTTTTGTGGTGGATTAACAAATGAATTGAAAACGACGGAAAAGTCAGGGTTTTTCAGGCATGCTGCATCAAAGTTAAGTGTTTATGAAAACAGCCTGCGGATCGGAGATGTTGGAAATGCTTGCTATATAATTGAGTCCACTGTCGATATTCCTATAGTGCCAAACCCTATATTGCATGACCTATTCGCAGATGATGTATTTACAAAAATATGCTAGGGAGGAGCATTTGTTCAAAATCTCCACTCAATATAGACTCCAGTGTATCAATATCAAATTGGGTTAAATTAAATGTGTCATGGATAAGAATTACATTTAAAAGTAGATTTCCTGGTTAAGTCTGCACTAGGTCATGACCCTAGCAAATTAATTACTATACATTCCCATTAAAAGTTTTATCAGAATTCTGGTTGGTCTGATATAAACATTTTTGGGTTTTTTCATGCCATCTTTTCTGCTATATATTTTTGAGGTGTCTAAATATTTCAATTAAAGGCAAAAAGTTTTAAATTGCAATGGAATGTTTCAGGGAGAAAGAACATCACAATTCTTTTTTTAAGTATATATGTTGATCGATTGCATTGAAGATCTGTTTATGTTTCATAATTGTCACTATGTATTTGAGGACTTAAAGATTTAATTTCAAATTTTGAAGAAAATACTGCAAAGTTCAGTTCAGAAAAGTGATGTTTGCACTTTTTAAAAAATGTAATAATATACCGGTATTCAAGTATGAAAATTGAAAAAGGAGTGCCTTATTAAACTTTTTGTGAAAGTTAAAATGCCTAGGATTGAACTTGGACTATGTGTACTGCCAATCCTACATGTACACTATCAAATGTGTAATTCAGTAACAGAAGAACATCTTGTCAATGGAAATAACTCTTAGCCAAAACAATAACCGTCATGTTGCTTTGTCTACAAAGGGTGAATACTCCATGCACATCCAATTGCAAGTTGAAATCTTTTTAGCGAAAGTAACTGGTCCGAGTGATTTTATCACTTATTCAGCTTCTTCGAGTGAAAAAAATCAAGAATTTTTCTCTCCATGTAAATTTGTATTTGAAAAAAATCAATTTTGCCCACATAATTTTATAGTTGTAAAATGTATGGAATGTGACTCCCTCTATGTATGAATACTGTTGACTGTATAAATGTGACATACTATAATTCTGTATCACATTGTGTTTGCCTTATTGGCAGCTGTGAGGCTTTAATGAATAAAAACATTCAAGAATTAAATTCAATCCCTTAGTGATTAATTAAGAGTTTAATGTAAGAGTACTGACAAGTTGAGGTATATTAGTTCCACTGTCACTAATGTGAAACATTTGTGCAGGTCCTTTTCAAAAGTGATGCTGAAAGTGCTAGAATGTACAATGCGAATGTAAAGATACATACTAATGCAGAGCAAGGATAGTTTTCCCTTGTGATATCACGGATGAAGGACAGGGATCACACTGCAACAGTCTTGATTGTAAACAACTGTTGGAGTGGCAAGGGTCTTGTTAAAATCTCCCTGTGTAACAGCAGCTATGTATAACAGGGGAGTTGGAGATCACATTGTAGGCCTACCGTAGTGGAGGCGGGAGATATGAGTTGGGGTTATGAACAGTCCCTGTGGTAGGTATTGAGGGGAGGCGTGGATAATGCTATGTTCTAGAAGATAAAAGAATCATAAAGTTTTTATTATTCAATAATATCAGCATATATATAGTTGAAGGTGAATTAAGAAAAAAGAAAAAGAAATAGGTATGTCTTGTTCTTATAAGTAAAACATAATTGAAAATAAGGGTTGATCTTGTGAAGGTTATTCGTTTTATATCGACTTTTATTCTGTAGGATGTTTAAGTAGAATAATATATACAATGAAATATGCCTGTGTGAAGTGATGTTGTGTCAGCTGTTGTATGTTGTTAAATTCTATATCAGTGTATCTGTATCGTAGATGTTCCCATTTTGTTCGTGTTGCACCTGTTGCACGATCTTCAGTGTCGATCGTCAGCCACACTGTACCAGCTGGTGGTGGTTCTGTTAGTCCGAATTATATTAACAGGGCCAAAATCTGCATATTAATGAATATATCTTGTATTTTAAAACCTGTAGTGAAAATTGCATGAAAACTTGTCATCTTAGGAGTTATGGTAAATAGATTGATGAAATGGCAATTGAATGATCTGACATACATATGGTTATTTCCAAACTAGCAACAAATTAGCATGTAGCGAAATCTGTTCGAGAAACCACGTCTATCACGACACTTTCTTGTGGTTATTTTCATGTTGAAAGAATATTTGTTAAGGTACCACCTGCAATAACGCCTGCAAATCACCATTGTTTGGACATCCAAAAGGTGGTTCTCTGAATACAATTTTGACTGTGAATCAAAAACTTGTGAATTGTAAGATGGACTTGCTAATAAAACGCATTTGTAAGAAACACAGTAATGTATGAAATGGCATCCTCCAAATAACTCAAAATAATTGATTACATTCATTTCAATATATTTATGAATAAAGTAATAAAACATATAAGGTATTGTATGGAAGGTGGGATATAGCCTCGGCCTTGATATTGTGTTTTCGTCCTATCTATGGGTTCTGTTGCCTATCCGAGATCCATTAAAATCCTTGAAATTTGAACTTACGGTCTTGGCTCGATGTTCAGTGGTGAGAACTGATTAGCTATTAGCTCGTTGTCAGTATAATGTGACTGAAAGGAATGTCATGCTACCGTGTCCAGGTTATGACATTTCAGTAAGATGGCCCTTAAAGTTGCGCCTTCATATGGTCTCATCTGTTGCGAGGAGTACTGAATAAATAATACACAGTCAAACCTGTGTCCAGAGACCATTTCCGGATGTCTTTTCTTTCTTGTGGTCTTTTAATACACGTATATGGTTATTTTAGCATGATAAAAGATAAAATATGGAGTTTAAAAAGTGGTCGCTTAACAAAGGTTGTCTCTGAATAGACTCGAGACCAGGTTTACTTCATGGTGCGATGCGTGCGTGCTATGCAATTATATTTTCACTGGTTTATCTGCTATATACATTACCATAGAGAACGATACATCTGGATCCAGCTCGTTGGCACTGTTGTTTCAATATTCATGGGCTTACCCAAAATATTTATCGACTAACAGATAGGCAACACCAGCCATATCAAGCAAGATGAAATCCAAGTATTGTCACGTTCCCATAGATAGAATTGGCAAGAGAGAATGAAACCGCAATGTTAAGAATGAATGTAGACTATTTTCCAAAGAGAACATAACAGTTACCATAGCGGGACAAAGTTAACAGGTTTGTTGTTGGGAGTTCGTTATTCGGGTTGTTCGAATAACTAAACCGCTGCCATCAGCGCATTTGTTATTAATAGATACGCTTGGTGTGACTTGTATATTGCCTAACCATGGCCAGGTATGAACCAGCTAAGTTCAGTGCATTTGAACTGAACTTAGCTGGAACAGGGACGCAACATTTCTTAACAAATTAAGAAATCAAACTTTGTCAATGGCCAACGTATCTCTTTGATAGTGACATGATTCGTAATCAACACTTTACAGATTATGTAATTCGAAATTAACTTAATTAAAAAATACATTTTTGCATGCATAGCTCGGGGGTTTTACGCACATGCCCCTTGTTTCAACAGTATTTGAGATAATTTGGCCGCTGGCATCACCGATGAGTCCAAGGAGGACGAACAGCTGTATGATGCAGTGTAATTCATTTTCGGATTACTTTGTCTATTACTAAGGTGCAATCACGTATGTGAGGTGTGTGTTACGTTCATTTTTCAACTAAGGTATGACAGTTGACATAGAAAAAAAATCCTTCTGAAAAACACGTTTTTATTGTTAACCCAAAACAATATAGACATCAGATATCACAAACATACTGAGATCAATGTCATTGTATGATAGGAATATTTTATAATAAATATGTATTTACATGTATGTAATGAATAAAACTCACAAATTGCATTTGAAATGCCATGTTAAACTCCACAATGTGTTATTAAAACTATAAAAAGCTGGATAATATGAAGTACAAACCGATTCCGAATCACCAAGACATATTAAATTATTGGATAGCGGAGACACACCATGTCATTATGCTATTGTCTTACGGAAAGCTTTCGACATGTTAGTTTCAGAATCCCCGAACCACTGCCAAACCCTGATAAAGGAATAGGAAACTGATTTTTTCTGACATGACTTTAGCAATATTAATTTATTTCTGAAAAGAAAAACAATGGGATTGCCGGACTTTTATAACAAATGATAAAAATAAAATAAAGAAATGATAATTAACAACAGTGTTCCTAGTGAAAAAGACTCTGGGGGACTATATTGTAGACCAAGATTCGAACCCTGAATTTGGGAATGCTGAACCATACATTGTATATGGTTCTAACCGATTGCGATACCTTGTCAACAGAAGCGTAGTAGTCCAAATGTGCTACAGGTATTTCCAGGCGGAAGGTTAGGGGAGGTTACTGTATATAGGAAAATAGAAGTGCAGTGGGACGGAGTTTGGTTTGGTTTATAATTGTTTAACGTCCTATCAATAGCTATGGTCAGTTAAGGACGGCCTCCCCTGTGTGCAAGATGCATGCGTGTAGTGTATGCGTGTGTGTTCGGGGAGGCTGCGATATGTTCGTGTTTGTCTTCTTGTGTTCGATCGGAACTGATGCCGACTTTATAGTGCTACCTCACTGAAACATACCACCGAAGACACCCAGCAGGACATCCCACCCGGTCACATTATACTGACAACGGGCGAACCAGTCGTCCCACTCCTAAATTGCTGAGTGTTGAGCAGGAGTAGAAACTACAATTTTTACAGACTCTGGTATATCTCAACCAGGGTTTATAACCCAAAGCCTTACTCACACCATTCATTAAGATCTAAGGAATGAAAAGCAATATCATAATTGTTCCCGAGCATGTTCAAATACATCAAAAGAGGGAAAGAACATATGTATTCCTTTATAGTTTGCACATTTGGCTACATGTAACACAGATGATTTATTCTTAAAGTGGTCCTCCATAATTTCCAGCTACAATGTGGGTCACAGCGTATTTTCATTTCGACAGATTTCATTGACAAAAATTGAATAGCCAAATGGATTGAAAAACAGTCTTATATAATTCCCATGGGTAACCAAGACGTTTCATTTAATAATAATGATACCAAATAGATCCAAAATTCAACAAAACAACCAAAGAAAATAAATATCATAAATAAATAATAGCACAAAGCATAACTAAATAATAGCACAAAACAAACAAAGAATTTAGCTATCATATATTATTAATAATAGCAACATTTACAACAACACAACTAACTCACCATTACCAAAATATATGGTAAAAGCATTGAACTGTTTTCAGTTGGCATTCATAGGCAATATGAATGCCAACTGGACAAAGGCAAATTCAATGAAGCGCGCTAGTGCTTCATGTTGGATTTCCCTTTGTCCAGTCGTATATGATCTTAGTGAGGATTCGTTTTTGTGTGACGACATGAACATTATGTACCGTGCCTCGTGACCCTGGTCATTTAATAACTGGATGGCAGTTGCTCGGAGGCAGTAAGGTGTTTATTTTTTGACAACACCAGCAGATTTACAAACGTCAGAAAGGAAATTTGAGAAGGTTCATTTTGAAAGTGGTTTTCTTGTATACCAGATTTCGTGACTATGAGGAGAGTCAACAGCGTTTCTTTTGTATTGTGTGAACAGTGCACATGGACCGTCAGCTGTGTCTGATTTTGACAGTAACAACTTTAACATGTTTACAGGACAACTGGCTGTACCAGTACTGTACATTCTCTTATCAGACGGAGCTTCGGCAGAATCTATTCCGCCTTGGTAATTCTTTTGTTGAGTACAATGATTGATTGTGACATATTCGCCATCAAGTGTTTCACTTTTGTGAAAAATTAACGAATTTGTAGAAAGCTGATGGGGGAATTCCATTCCGCGTGTTACAAAGTGAACGCTTAAATTGAACCACACATTTTGTCGGAGTATTATCGGATTTCTGGAACCATTTGAGAGGTAGGTGGATATTTTTTCTAAATGTAATATTTCAATAATAGCTTTGTGGTTTGTTGGTTTAAGAGTGCCCGATCTTGCCCGTTGTTTCAGAAGGCCGTCTAACACTCCATAACCGTTTCTAAACTGTTTATCTCTGATGATATCTATGTTACGATGTATGTCTGTCAGGTGTCTATTAATTGCCCCCCTAATGTTTATTAGAGTGTTCTTGTGGTACATGTGACTGTCATCTGTACTAGCTATCTGAGGCTTTTTTGGCCTTGCATCCGCATAAAACTGCCTGAGGGAGTCTGCCAAATCATCCACAAGGAACAGTAGCCAAGTCCATGTATCGTCCCCTGACCTCCATATTCCAGTCTAAAATTATAGAAAATGAGATCCGTTAAATTGAGTTATTTCCCTTTCTCCACATCAACGTTTATTTGTCATAACGAGCGCATTTTTTCTCTCTTTCTTTTTTTTCCTGTTTTTTTTCCAGATGTTCGCTAGGTCCAGAGTTTACTTTTATACTGTGTAAAGCTGAAACGATGTGATTGTTCGTAAAATAAAATGAACTTTCCGTCTGTTTCAGCTGAGTTGATCTCAGTTACACGGTACATTATTGACTTCAAAATATATACATACCTTGAAAGACTTTCAACCCCCACGCAGTGTTCTTCTTTGTATTCGTTGATTGGCGTTCGTCGAAAAGATTTTCTATTTCTTCCTCTGATGCTTTATGAAACCTGCCACGATTTCTTGGTATACATGGGGTTTCCGGTGGCGGTATAAACTCATCCAAAGCAGAATTATGCAAGTTCAGTTCCATCTTTCTTGTTTCAATTTCACTCGAAACATTTGATGCTGCCAAGTATTCAATATCTTCCAACTTCATAGACAGCAACAGATCTTCGTCGCCATCAGTCAAGTTATTTTCTAACATTTCAGCTGGAATAGTTAGATCTTTTTCACTTTCTGGTGAAACATGTACACCCCCCGGGAATTCCAAATGAAAATTGCCCGTGTCGGGCGGTGATAGCGACATGTCCTCTGAGCTCGATTCCATTATGGTATTTATTCAGCGTCTCATGCAGTAGCAGACGACGTTTTGAAATATGACGTTTTTTCAGCAAAAATGGTAATTTCGTATCTGGAATGGTGCCAACATAATTTTTTTGCAAATTGTGTTGTTTTTTTTTCTATTTATTATTATTAAATTTCTACTATCTTAAGTTTTTGTTACTTGGAATTTGGATGGAAGCTTGAAATTGAAAATTAAAAAATCAGATATACTAGCTCTGTTTATTGATACCAGATGTGACTGGCGGCCATATTTGTTTACCTTGTACCAGCTGTATTCTTACACTGGCCGTATCACTGTAAATTGTAGTATACAGTCTCATATACTGCAATTTGGTTTACTAACGACATATAGGCAAATGCAACACAGAATGTAAATATTCATGCATATAAACTATAACGACACTATGGTCACGACGTATTTATCTATAATCTCACCTGATGTGTTTCGGACATATTTTGTACAACATTAGTAAACATGGACGGCAAAAGAAAGGTCACTATAATTTATAAGCCATGGCTATTCGTAGGGTTCCGCACTCTGTCATTTACTTGACATTTACCTGTATGGCAAGTTATGAAGATGATTATGTATTTTCTGCTCCTAGCAAGATGGTACTATTGATGATATATTTAACATCCACTCTTCAGTTGTAAGAATTAACATGAAAGATAAAGCTGCTTTGTTACCTCGGGTTTCATTTTGTTTTGGAGTTCTTCGAGATCTGAGTCCATTCCAAACGGCACGGACTAGCACACATTTAGACTTTCATCACTTGTATATACCATCACATAATCACGCTTACACGATATCATTATACACATTCTAACTCACTTTACTCTCCATCACACATTTGTTCTCGTAATATGTATTTTGTCATTCATTTCAAATTATTCATATCCTAATAAAACTGTCCCTCTCTGATATAGATGTATGTATGAATATGAACATCAAAATAATATTTTAATAACACAGCATTTACGGTAAGGCCAAAACATATGTATACTGTAGGTAACCTGACTAACATACTTTTTACCTCCAAACTTAAAAAATTCAGCTCATTCGAATGCTCTAAAACGTCCCATTCGAACGCGCCGAAAATCGTAAGCGTCTTTATGACACCTCTCTATTTCATAGACGGTTATCAAAACCAAACTTAAATCCAGATTATTATTTAAACGACTTCAAAATATAATGAAACGTGAATGCAATTGGTCTGATAAATAATGTTTGGTGATTTTTGTACTTTCTTAAAATTAGTTCCCAACCCAAATACATCACCGACATCAGGTCACCTTATTTTTCCGTCATATTACATGACACATACATATGTTTGGCCAGATAAAATGTCAATGCAATACCATATTAAAAAATAGTTATAAACAAACGTTCAGGCATTGATAATAATACATTATTGGATCACACATTTACAATGCCATGGCATATCTAAAGAAGAGGAAACTATGACAAAAGGGGAGATAATTCTTACTATAATCATCCTTTAGATACATTCTTAATTCTTTTTCTTATGCCATGATTTCAAGTCTGTGGTGTAATTTCTTTTATATACTTGTACAGTATTCATGATTGAGATGATTTTGTGGATCTTGGTAAATGTGAAATTTTGATAAAGCATCATGGTCACTTGCTAAGTATCCTAGAAGTTCTGAACTTTCATGAACACCAAAAGAAACAAAACTCGTAAATTTAATTGAAAACAGTTTAGAAACTAAGTTGGATCCGTGATATTTAGTAGCTTAAAGATCCACCATACCATTGCCAAACATTTTAACTGGAGGTAGTATTTTTTTTAACAATTTTAACGACATAAAAATAGTTTTAAATTGTCATTTTAGATGAAACCCATACCTTAAGACACAACAGTATTAGACCGATATTCAAACTCTGGACCTCCGAACCCAATATGGGCGATTTATCCGACTCGGCAGTCCTCTTGCCAAGTCCCACTATAGTAACAGTGTACATCCAAAACGAAAGGACAGGGACCCAACAGTATTTATTAAAATCCACAGTAGAATTCTTCGTTGCTTTGCCTGCAGTTGGATCAAGATCCTTAAAGTCAGCATTTGTGAAACAACTATAAACTGTCCTGCTTTTTCTTCATCCGATTAATGAAAGGTATCCTCCGGTTATATGCGTGTGTATTAACTGAATTTCGAGATAAAGTTAATTCCTGAAATCTATTATTTGAAATTAGACCCATTCTATATATCACGACAAAACATGGCCATGACAAGTTTGCAACTCATTTAGATGGGATTTAGACGTCTATAAAAACAAAATAAATTTGCTGCATATATTGTAAAGGATTTTAAACACAACAACAAGAAAGGCATTACATTAGCGCTTCGAAATACCAAAGATCGTTCAAACGTATTGATGAACCTGACTTGATGTCTCAGTAGCCGATTACTTATGTTTTTATTTCTAGCTAGCCACATTCAAGCATTCTGATGATGTTGAAGTGATATTTTCATAATGGCCACAGGTTTAAGTTCAAGCAAGCCGTTAGATAAATCATACATGTGGCAATGATTTGGTTAAATCATTTCCAGTGTATGTTACAAGGCTTGTGCTGAGACGGTCGAAGGCACTTGGAAATAACATCCATCCTTGATGAGTGCTACCGTGATATCATTTGAGTAGTTTTAATTTTCTTTCTAAAGTTGATGTCTGCGAAAGGCCTTGTAATTGATTATTTAAGGTTGTACGTGTTTGTACTATTATTTCTATAGATCATCGTCGATTATGGAAACTGCCTTGTAAGCTGAAGAAACGCGTTTGCCTCGGTATAGGAGAATGCTGAGTATGACCAGTACAAGGACCAACAGCGCCAGAATGCTCACTAGGAGCAGTATTCCTACTCTTTTAGCGCCTGCTGTACTATCTGTGGAGGTAAACACAACAAGTATGACACTGTACCGTTTATGTCTGATAATATACATTATGTAAGGTAAGTGATGTTCACAATGGTTTTTAAGGCAAATATAGAATTTCAATCGCCTCTTGTACTTACAGAACAATTCAATCGTTTACGTACCGAATGTTTGTGCTTCGTTTTCAATTTTGCATTCTTCCTTGATATCTCCGGGTATATGGTTGGCCAGAATACGGACGAAGTCTCTAAAGGGACAGTTTTCCGAACAGCCTGTATCGAAAGTTTGAATAAATAACATCAGCAATATTCTATTAAAAGAGTTTCTAGAACGAACTCTTTCTCAAATATACGACTGATATAGTTTCACCATAACACTTCAATCAGAATATTATGCCGGTCAATCAAATGACAAATAATTCATAGAAACGTAGTACATCTGTCATATAATTATGCAGCGACAACATCATTAAAAGGTTTATTAACAAAAGCAGGATGCTTTTCAATGCTTCTTTTGAATAATGACTGTCCTACAATGTATATATCACTTTGCTCAAGAAATATATCAAATTTGATTTAAATAAAAACAATTAATGGCCTTCGCTTGCATCGATGGAATTCTATATATTTTATAATTTGTATTCTTATAAAAAGTATTACGAACGCTTTCAAAAGGAACGAAAAGTGTATTGCTTCGTAATAATAGTGTGAATACAGGTATTGTTTAGTGTTTTACATGATTTGTTTTATTTGTGAGATAAAACTTATAGAAGCAGGTGATTTCATTGCAGGAAACAGCTGTGTTGTCCTTCTAGAATTCATCCATGGTGTAAGGGGCCAAAAAGATGGAAATCCAATTTGGTCTAATGAGACTAATGTTTGAACAGAATGGGAAGTGCGTAAAAAGCCTCAATGTTATGAATTTTAAATATAAGAAGAAAACATGTTAAATTAAAATTGAATAATGAGTAAAGTTTGTATATTATGAACGGTGCCACTACTCAAAGAGGTTGTTATAGCTATCAAGGTTACGGAAAACTAACTGGAGACTAACCAGCAGAGTCTACAACCTTGTTTACCAAATTTGCACGTATGACACACAGAGAGGATTGCACCTATTTAATTTGGTAATAGAAACAGGTAATAAGCCAAATAAGGCCTGCATAATTACCTGGTATCTGTAGAGTAATGGTTCTGTTGCTGTCTGTCTCATTTCTATGTATAATCCTAATAAAGGGTGTTCCGTCTATATCCGTTTTCCAGAATTCCACCATTACACACGCGGAATATCTAGGCTTTCTTTTATCAAATACGTTTAGTACTCGCAACAAAGCAATCACTGTTGAATCATGCTAGCATGAAAGAAAAACTGCTTTAATAACAGAAAACAAAATATACTTTATATGAATACAGTGAGTATTTCTACGTGATGTTATGCAATAATGCACTTACACAAACAAATAGCATGACAGCAGAAAAAACCATGACTGGAAGGTATATTTGCGTACATATCACATTTAAGGATCCCCGTACTACTGTACAATACTGTATCAATGATTTAAAAACTGTTCTTTTCGGCATGAACGTCCATTTCCGGAAATAAAACCATACCTTGGGAAACTTAATGAGAGTAAAATGAATATAAAATGTAAAGAACCTCTTAAAAAAACCAGGATTCGAACCCTGGACTGCGGATTGATATACCATCGCTCTAACCGACTGAGCTATCTGGTCAACGGAAGTTTCCAGACCCAACTGTGCAACAGTTTTATTCAAAGCGATACAAAGAGGAGGTTACTGCATATGCAACGGTATTTTTATTTATTGACAAACGATATGTTTTGCGATACTATATTTGCAATTGAATATCAACATTAATGCTTACCCCCGAGTACAAATAGACCTTTGGATGAGCTGTAGTGTTCAAAGTTGTTTTCATGTTTTCAATCATTTCTTTCAATAATGAACCTGGAAAAAGACCACCATAAATAAAGAACACGAATATTTTGACCATGTGCAAACTGAACATTAGGATGAGTTTGATGCATATATCATATAATGATATTCTGATTTTTAAATGTGTATATCTAAGTAGCTCTGGATTTTCTTGGAATTTATAAGAAACAAGTAAATAATTTTGTTGTTTATTTGCGGCATAATTTTCCATCCTGGGATCTAAGTACAAACAATATATCTTTTATTTGCAAAATAATCAGGCAAGGATAAAGAAATACATACACGTGTATGGTAGGCAGAAGAACAATTAAAAAAAAAGACGTAAGTACTTTTTCAAAAGGGATCCAGATTGTATAACAAAATAGTGATAGCCTTAACATATGGAGTGAATAAATTGTTCCAATACTACCGCTCAGGAGGATTTTTCCGCGAGGAAGATATTTTCTCGATTTCGCGGGTCAATAATGTGTTCGCAAAAATATGATCGGCATAATAATAACACAAGCGTAAAATCAGTCGCAGTTATAAACTTCATACTCGTAATGTCGTCATGATATATCGCGCATGTGATTGTGACGATTCATTTTATAGGGAGTTGTGATGTTTGAAAAAGGTTATATCACATATCTAATAGTTTTGTTAACGGTTTGTTCAACAAATCTGCTATCAATAGTTCTATCCATTTGAATTGTTGAAATCGTGAAATTATAATCCATGTAAATTCAAAATTTGGGTCTGAACCCGCCTAAATTACCCGCTATACGGTTTTACCGGGAGTCATATAGTCTGGCAATTACATCTCACACTTATTTAACACAGCATAATAATTAATTACTGTTTTATTGATATAAGTGAATGAAGCTAATGAGCTAATGAGGAAAAGTCAAATTGACGATGAACAAAGACAATGAACAATGTTGTTTTTCTACACCAAAAGGGTCACTTTTGTGTCCCTTGCACTTACCAGCTTTCATTTTTTTCATTTCAGATGTAGGAAGGAAATTAGCAGCGGAAACATCACGTATTGTTTGAACCAAATCAAACGGTAACACAGACTTCCACTCTGGTAAACTCAAGTTGTGTACATACTGAAACAGATCAAAGAATGCCTGTAGCAATCTGTGTATTGTTACTAGTATTAATGTCTGTAAAAAATGTAAGCAATAACTATTCAAAAGCTAATGCCCTACATGTGGGCATACATTGCAAGGTAATTTCCCATAGCCGAAGCGGAAACAAGACACGACATGGCTTATTTTTGCAAAAGTAATTTTCATTTGTGTTACACGCGTTAAGGTTTGATATACGTATTCTACATGCATGTCGTTCGAAAATTGAAAGGAAGCATGTGTCTGGTATGCTAATTTACAATATTGTTTGATTAAATCAACTGACTAACCGATGAAGATTTTTAATAAGCTTTTCCAGGTCATTGTTTTTCTAAAGAAAAATCGTCATTTAGTTGCATGTGTATATTACCTACATTTTTGCTTTTTGTTCAACAAATAAATAAATATACAGCATTTGATTTAGCGCTCTATTTACATGTAGCTAGAACAAGCCACTCTGAGGCGCTTTAAAATACATAGATATACAATTTATACAATCAATATAATTAATATAAACATCAAATACTACATTAATCAATACAATTTTGAGGAATTTGCTGGAGCTGCCTTATCAGGAGGTAAATACTAGTCCTATTATACCACCTGGCTAATACATCCCTACGTGTGTAAGTAGTTGCACCGGTCAGCCAACACTTTATTTCGCGCACGTAAAAAAAACATCTGTGTTTAAAGTCGTTCAGTTATTGAGTGTCCATAATATTAAAGAAGTGTGTATACTAGGAAAATTCATCTATGAGGCAAACAAATTAAGGGTATTATAATGGAATATGATTGTCTTACTTCTCTGTTCATTGTCCATGATTTGTGTATAATATGTATTGTATACTGATGGGCCAATGGCCTAAAGTTCGAATAAAACTTGAACTTGAACATACATTCTTTACCAGCTACAGACATTTTATCTCCGGAAACAAGTTTCAAATTTAATGGTTTCCTCAGATACATTAACATTTAATATACAACATGATGTATCAGAGTTTAATAATACACGTTTGTAAAGACAGAATGGATGAGAAGTACACAAAACAATATACATGATGCATGCTACATTATCAATAGATGACTCTTTTAGTATATGTTTCCAACAACAGTTTGTTATTTTTTTCCAACAAAGGCAAATTCCTTATAATACTGTCTTGTTACAAAATGATAAAATATCACTCATTTTAATTTGAGAGGATTTTTTTTTATAATATGTAGGAATTTATTCTTTCTCTTATCTCCACAGTTATTTCATTTAAAACGCTGCATAAAGAAATTTGCAATCTAGGGTGATAGCTACCATGCCCTGTGACTCCCCGAAAACACTACGTTACCCACCTGGCAGAATAAGATGTCAGTTATCCTTCCCCACGTATCCCTGGTGAGTCCAGAAATGTTCACAATTTTATCTATCAGACCCTGAAATAGAGAAATTAAAAAAAGATCAGTATTCACTAATACGTTAAATATTCTTCGTTTTAATCAATTCAGTTTTTAAGTTATAAACTGTTGCATAAATGCAAACATTTCAAAATTATTCATGTAAAAATACTTTGTGTTTAAAGATATACATGTACAATGTATAGGAATATGTTTTGCGTTTTTATTTTAGTTTAGTTTTAAGAAACGACTCCTGTAATGTTCCTTTCGAGGTCGCTTAGGCTAGTGAAAGAAAAAAACAAAGACAATGATTTGAATATTCCTGAAAATGTTGATAACGGTTTATATGTAACCTCTCAATTACAAATAGTATATATTGTCATGCATAATCCCTCTAGATTAACCTATATAGAATTGATAAGCGGAAATATGTAAGAGCTTGAATATATTAAGAAAAATCAAGGATTATTTTTTCCTCCAAAATACCAGGGTCATATAAAGACAGATGCCAAGGGAGACAAAAACCAAATAGAGAGAAGCCAGTATAAAAAAAAAAAAAAAAAAAAAGATTGTAAAAAGAAAAATATCCCCAGTGATGCAATCGGAGCAACATAACAGTTTAAGTCTCTTCAGTTTTCTCTCCATAAAATACACAACAGAAAAACCCTGATTATGCAGAGGTGCTCACGTTAGTCGCCACCAACAGATTTATTGGGACACAACAGGCAATCCCGGTATTTTTTCGCCGAAACTCCACGGCTTATCAGTGAAACTCTAAGTTTAAACACTGCAATTGTCCTCCTTTATATAATTATATATGATTTTAATACTGTATTCTTCGTTTGGATGTCCGTATGGGTATCCATAAATTCCCATTCGTTCTTTTCCCATTTCTTATACACCTTTGCAATCTTAATTCAGAAGCATTAATCCTCATCAAAACGCTATGCCTCTTGTAAAAAATCAAATTTCCAGATGATACTTACCTGATGTTGGGCCATAAATTTAGTCAATGTACTATTCCCACTATATTCGGAAAGAAGTTTGTCATATCTTGGACAGGCAGACCTCATACTTATTATCTGCAAAACAACATTTTAAATATTATCCCAGAATCCGAGCATGAAAATTTATGTTACTCCTTAACCGTATAATACAAAGAATTTATAGATATTGAGATAAATGTTTATTGTTATGAATTAAGAAAATTGTTCAAGTTTTGTTCTCAGAACTTGATCGCCATGGCTTATATCCACGGACAGTCATCGGCTAGTTGCACCAGTAGTTACGAACACCGTAAGATACGTGACCGTCACGTGAGAAGAAATGTTCACTGCATTCGTGAATCATGCCAGTGTACCTCATTATCAAAATAATTCCGTAAACGAAACTTGAACCACAATTGGATATAAATATGTACTTGGAAATGCATTATACATTGTTCTGATTTGTTTAAAACTAGCGTTGAGAGCAACTATGATGTGGTAATATCAAATATGGTGATTTCTCAACCCAATACATTATTTGTTCCAAAAAAAAGGTAAAGATATTTTGTTAATGAATGGACGCATAGACTATCTCATAAGCCGTATTTTGATAGGCCATAAATAGTTATTGATTTATTTATTTTTTGTATTGATATTGATTTTTGTCAATGGAGTTGCTGGGTCGACCTTGGGTGCAACATTAACTCCCTTCCGTAAACTATTCTTCACATGAATTCGCTGATAAGGACAACACAACAGTGTTAAAATCATTAGTTTGAGTTTTCAATTGCTTGCATGGAGATTAAAATGATGTATTACACAATTTAATACAAACAAAATAATCATAAGTGTATAAACAATGTAATATGACTTACAAAAAAAATTACGAAAAATCTAAGATATGGAAATTCAACTCTCGGTTATATAAATTTGGTGAGAATCGAAGCTAAAAGTTCTGGCCAAAATTCTTCACCCAAGAATAAAATTATACACCCGAGGGTATTTATTTTATCTGTTAAATGCGTGTTAATGTTAAGTTCTACATGACCGGTGTCGTCGATGACGCAGAAACACAAAAGACGCTTATCGTTCCGGAACATATGGTCTTAATCTTGCACTGTTTCATGGGTTTCTATGTAAATGTTTCCTTTGTTCTTATTGTGCCTTAGTTTTTCGAGTGAGAAATCAAGTCCGTTGAATAAGAGAAAATATCTCACGTCTGATTTTACCGCCTGTTTGGAACATCTGATTGTATCTTAACCGTCACACGTGCAGTGTAAAGTCTATCGATCAGGATAAATGTGTTATTCTTTGGATTATTTGCCACATAAAACCTGTCATGTAAATACTCAAAGTTGCCTTGTTGCTGCTGTTGTCACTGCATCTATTGTACATCAAACAAAATCCAAATAGACGTATGGTGAAATCAGTCATCATGGAAATTGAGTGACTCGTTACATATTTGTACACATTGAAACAGTATATTACACTTAATTGCGCAATAATGAAAACAAAAATTACCAAAAAATCGACAAAACCATCATTCGAACTCTAAAAAGACAAAACTAGGGCTGAACATGAACGAAAGTCAAATTTAAATAGAGACTTTATCGCGAGAGAACAAAACAAGGAGAATAAGACCAGGTATTCCGGATTGGTTTTGTGTTTCATTGACTACCCCGCCATGCAAATTTAGGTCAAATCAAAGTAAAAAATCCATGTTCCTTCTGAGAACTCTGAAAGTGACAACAAGGCACAGTAGGAAGCATAATAAAAAAACATCGAGCTTCCTCTCATAAAAAATGGGAAACAGCATATTTCTCCATTAGATCATGATGGTGACCAGATATATTCTTCATCGACCTGCATCTTAGGAAACTCTGTGTTGCAAACGTGTACGCCAGCAGTCGACATCTATCACTAAAGATCGGGAACAGCAGTTACGTTAAAGAGCATTTGAGAGTCCTTTAATATCTGAATGTTAAATTAAAGGGCTTTGCTAGATTTTAGTTACCAAAACAGTTAGAAATATATCGTATCTACCCATATTTATTGAAGATTTTATATAAGACGTTACGTACAAAATCCTCATTCTGGGGTCTGGTGTGAACGGGTATGGGCTGCCAGTCCAGGCCAGGGTTCCACTGCTGGTCGGTACCATTGGGAGGATAGAGTCCACTTAGGACACAGTAGGCACTCATTAGGGTACGGTCAAAGTCAGAGCTGGTTATAACTATCTAAAAAACACAAGCATTAAGACCTGTTTCATGATCTTAGATTTTGCAGGACTGATACATTTTCATTGTTGTTATTGAAAAAAAACAGTATTTTTTTTTATAATACCATCGATGATTATATGTAACTAACCACAAATCAGATATCATTGTGAATATTTTGTTAATAATGACAAATATGATACTGTACCATATATATTGGCCAATTTTGAAATTTGCATAAAACCATCGATGATTATATGAAAACAACATCAAAAATGATATCACCGATAAATACTTTTTTTAATAATACAAAATATGATTAACATTGATGAATAGTTAATGACAAATATGATTCCATTCTTAAGACGACAAATAAATCATTAATGAGTATGTCTTTATTAACGACATATATGATATATATCATGTAAGTAACAATAAATCTATCAACATGCAAGTATATTCTGTCACTTATACATTGTAAGAGGCATGGTATAGTATCGTCGAGGTATTTTTCTTTAATAACATGAGCGACGTCATCAATGTACACATGTATATTCGAGGACAACATTTAATTACGTAAATAATTATAAATCCAACATTACATAGGGGGTTGAGGGTAAATCTAGTTACTCGCCTTACATATGTTGAAACATCATTTGTTTACATATAGCGTTACGTAAAACAATGGCGTCGAATGACATCATACAATCAGAAACAAAGGACTAGTTTTATTCAGAAACATATCATAAGTGACTGTTGATTGTCCCCTTCCGTTATATTAGTGGCTGGATCAGAGATTTCTCGGTAACCTTTTTTCTATCTTTTGCATTATTGTTTTAATCATATTATCCATTTTAAGCAAAAATGATGAACCTTTAAGCCAGCATTACGTAAACTTAGAATATGTCAGAACTCCACATTAAAGAGACAAAACTAGCAATTTAGAAATTTAGAAAAAATCAATGCGAATTGTAAGAGTGCCCTGCACTACATATAGTAGTCAGCAGGATCCCTTCTGCCTTTTGTTTCTCAATCACTAAAAAGTAATGTAAATAAAATGGAAACTCAAAATCAAATTCGATAAATGTTGAGCAACATAGGAGCAAAGGGGGAAAATTCTTTGAACCCCTTAAGTATATACCGGGAAAAGACGGCAGGTGTGCAGGAAGGATACGCATACTAGTCTGCTTCATCGACAACACCCACCATGTAAATCTAGTCCAAACCCAGTAGGAAACACTTGTGGCGTATAAATGGCGTAAATGATAACTACGTTGTTGAAAGGATAGCCCAAACAATTGACATGCAAAGATGGGTCTTTTTTCCACCAAAGGTATAAGCAGAACATTATGCATACAGATCCCGTGTTGTTTTTTCAATGAAAACCTTACAGAGAAACACGGCCGGCGTTATGTCCTTTTTCAAATACATATCTTATACTTACAACTTTCTAATATACGAATTGTGTGTGAAGCTAACACAATTCACCTTTAATGTGTTATACTTTGTTTTTTTGAAGTAATTCTCCGTTTTCCAAATATTAAACGCCTTTCCAAAAAAATAAAAATGAAAATCTGTGATGAACATCTTTTGTTTATATATAACAAAACTCACCTCCGACTGATTGTACTTTGAGCCTAAAAGTGTGCCTCCTCCATATCTTTTTTTAAATAGCTTTCCTAAATTGTATTCTTGACGCATTCCTTCCTGCAAAATTATATACATGATAAACCAAATGATCACTGATAAAAGAAGCAGTAAGGCATTCGGGAGGTTATGCCTTTCTTTTGTCTCCGTGTGAAATGAAAGAGACCATGACAAATATGTAAAGAGTTGTATGATGTACAATTATATAGATGAAGAAGGTTAGATACTATTGTGTTACTATGAAATAATATTTATACATTGGTACATTTGTATACCTGTGAAAATTATCAATCGCTAGAAATACATGACATGATTTAATTGTATTATAAAGTTAAAATTGACTAAAACGTTTCTATCACATGTGTAGGTAAAACTGTCAGCAATTTTGTTTTGGTGCATATTAAATTAAACTTGAACATTCATGCCTTTCTATCTTGTGACAGCTTAAGAAACGTCACATATTTACCTGAGTCAGCTGACCCCATCCCTGTTTCCAATAGCTTCTGTGTTTATCATTTGGGAATGTGCCAATCGGACTTCTATCTCCATGACGGAAAACCTGGGGGAAGTTAACAAGCAAAGTGAAATTAGTTCTTAAATAAGGTTGATTTGCAGGCACATTTAAAGGAATGTACATGTGTAATTGATTTCTTTTCTTTGTTATCAGCTGATTATGCTGAGGCAAATGGCATGCTGTAATATAATAGAAAACCTTGAAAATTACGTCATTTTGCTTACGGGATTTAAGCCTTAAGGTACCTCCGCGTAATCAATTACGATACAAAATGTATAAAAGGATTACGCATTCAGACTTGAACATAACGTTCCGACTGGCTTTTAAGTCGGGCGTTGCTCCTCTGTAATCTTCAAGGGACAGGTACATGTATTAGCCTAGCGATTGGCCAGGTTTATTTACCTGAGACCAATCAAATAGCTAGCCGCGTGCTTTCAATTTAGCTATGACTTATTCAGGACTTATACTACTAAATCAGCCAATCGGCAAGTGTTTTATTCGATTTTAATCCCTACTTAAAATTTGTTCCGGTTAAATAAAGTGCATTTGAGTTATCTTAAAAAGTAATTGTTGACATGTTTTACATTGAATGAAATCTACAGATATTGAACTTTAAAAATGTATAGTTTTAGTGGTATGGGGTCAAAATTCAGGGGTTGTTCCTGTCCCACTTCACCGGTTTGGCTTGTAACCTTCCGGTTGTCAAAAGCAGACGCATGTAACTTATATGCCATTAAACTTGCCAAAAAAATGTATTTTGAAGCCTTTGTCAGGTATGTATCGTTGAATTTAGACAGTTGTCACTAGCGTTGAACTTCAAATATTAACGCTATTAGCTCAAAAGCTTAGTAATAACATATAGTAAATGATTTAGTTGTGCGAGTCCGTCAAGGCTTGCATTGAGCGAAGGTGAGCGGCATCCCTAGAGTATCGAGGAAGACTATTAGTCTCGTTCAACCAGACGCTTGATCACTTGTAATTCAAGAGTCTGGTCAAACACAGTACTTTAAAATTAACATCACCAGAGGGCAGTGTTTTTACTTTCGTTTCCGGACGTTATGTCAATTCAATGAATGATGAAATTAATGAAAAAACTTACCTACACCGTGTATTCACTATTATCGAGAACAATGTAAGAAACTGTGTCAAATCTCCAGAATAATGCCATATATTTCCACTGAATAAATCATAACTGAGCACAAAGCCAACAAGGCTGACTGAAGTTGAAAAAAGGTAAGTGAGATTTTACCTGTACACCATTCAAAACACCTACAAGTCTCACTCAGGTAATCTGGCTTGACTTGTATCAATAGCCTTGTTAGCTTCATAAATTATTGTAAAATATCCAATGAAAATACATGAAATCATTTTTTTTGAAGCATTTTTTTCACTTTTTTCGTTAATAGTGAAATCATGGATATTTCAGGAATGCATGTACATGTAATGTTTTCATGAATTAAAATATTCAATGAAATTTTGCGCCACTCAAATTCTGACTTCAAAAGTTGAAAAGGGTGTGTAAACCTTTGACCCAATGAAAGCATTTACCAATGAGGTAAGCCTCGTTATGATGTCACAAAACGAAAGCACTGGGTTTGACCAATCGGGAACCTTCGGCACTTTCCGTAAACGAGAAAATTCTATTTCTCGTTTACGGAAAGTGCCGAAGGTTCCCGATTGGGTTTGACCAGACTCTCTGTTCGGCGTAGCTTGTGCAGGCAACAAAGGTCTGGTTTAACGAGACTAGGATGACTTTCTGTAGGCATAGTAAGTGTTTATCGCTCTGGAGCAGAGATCAATATAACATCCTGGTGACAAGTGATGCGTGATATATGTATGTGTTTAAATAGTAGTAGTATGTTTCTGTGTTAAGAACCCAACGTACCATATGCACAGCCATATATTTTGGGTTATCGTCAACACAAATAGCTGGAACAGGCCTCATAAATACAAAAATAACACAATATTAAGTACACCATGTGTTGCCACTTAGACATAAAAACGTAAATCTGAAATTATTTTGTTACAAGCGACGGAGAAAAAACGGGTTAACATGGGTTTTGCATATATATAAATCGAGGACATTTAGTCATACTGAGCACTTTAACAGCACTGTTAAACATTGCCTATGTGAAGGCTTTTTGTCTGTTTGGTAAAATTTAGCAATTCATCCGACTTGGCACCTTTTTTAAGAATGCTCATTCATTTTCCGACCAAATTTTGCTGATCGAAACCTGCTGTATATAATTCAGTTACTTGCAGCTATAAAGTAGAGGGTTTGGGGTAGGGGGCGATGATGTAGTATATTTGTAGACAATATTAAATGATACACTTTCAAAAATAAAAATTGTCAGACTGAAAATACTGAACAGAATACCTACAGGACTATCAAAATATTGCGCCGAGAAGTACTGGCCTTTAGCCGTTTTTTGTCTTTCGAGCACACGTGTATGTATATGTGTGTTTGAGTGAGCCAGAGGGCGGGTTACAAATAAATTGGTCAAATGGCTCGTGGTATCTGGGCAAATTGAAACCATTTCTTTATATACTACCGTGAGTTACCTGTAATTTAATCGAATGATTTGCCTACAAAAAACTGACAAGGTGACTATTGTTCGAGGAAATGTAAAATTTACAAAGATATGATCAAAGTTTATTTGACAGTTTTCTGGCTTTTATGCCTGCTCTACTGTTGATATAAAAATAATGTTCAAGTCACCTTTGGTGCATGACGAATAGCTATAATTAAAAAACAAAATATTGCAAAATATCAGCTTAAATTTATCTTAAAAGGAAACCCATATTTTATCAAAGTGTAAACAGGAAATCAATGACCAGTTACACATGTTACCTTAACTTAAGGCAATCTAAGCTTCCGGATCGGCGGACGGTCTAGATGTTTACATCACCGAATTAGATGCTATCTAAGTCCATGGTTTAAATACGTAAACATGTGAACAGGATATATGTATTTTACGTGTTTAGCCCGTTGACAATCTCAGCACTTCAAACAAAACCTTGTCATCTCAAAAAACATGGTCAACATATTCGTAATTTTATTTGACAATGGCAGATGTAGTGACCGATATAAAGTGTTTTGGGGTCCCAAATCTCCTGTGAAATATTAGACCTTTCTCATTTTGGGGTAGACCTAGCACGGAGCGTTAAGACAGAGACGCTGAATGGGAAGGGGACACTATAGACAGTTACGGCACAAGTAACAGTAGGGGAACTTCAATACTGATTAGTAGTAAACTCGATTATAACATTGTAAATACACATACAGATGTTAATGGTCGTTATGTACTCATAAACATCCAAATTGATCAAACAACATACACACTGATAAATATTTATGCACCAAACAACCCACAAGACAGAAACATGTTTTTTTAAAAGAATCAATGAAGTTGTAAAATCTGAAGCAAAAGGCTCTCTCATCATAGGGGGTGACTATAACGACCCCTTAAAACAAATAGACAGAAAAACTAATATAAATAAACGAAACACAACTATGTACAGCTTAACACAGCTCATTAAACAAAATAAACTAACTGACATTTGGAGACAAATTAATCAAAACAAGTTACAATTTACATGGAAAAGAAAAAACGGGTCAAAGAAAAGTAGAATAGACTTCTGGTTAATTAACGAGGATACCAGGCCTATTGTTAATACATGCGACATAAGACCTGCAATTATAAAACATACAGATCACATGGCTATCTCGTTAAAATTAAACCTTACTAAACCAACAAGAGGTAGATCCTTTTGGAAAATGAATAATTCCTACCTAACAGATGATGAGTATATCAAAACAATAAAACAGGTTATTAATGAATACAGACATGCAATAGACAATGGGGTACTAGATATACAAGTAGGATGGGAGTTATGTAAATCCACAATTAAAGAAAAATCAATTAATTTCGGCATTAAGAAAAGTCTAGAAAGGAAAAACAAATTAAACCTACTAGAACGACAGCTAAAAATACTGAACGAACAGACTAACCACACTGATGATGAGGCTATGGAAAATAAAAGAATAGATCTAGAAAAACAAGTAGGAGACATCTACGAATTTAAAGCAAAAGGCACCCAAATAAGAGCGAAAGAAAATTGGGTAGAGAAGGGAGAAAAAAACACCAAATATTTTCTCCAATTAGAGAACAAACGACAGATAAGAAAAAGTATAACAAAATTGAATGTTGAGGGTAAAACAATAACAAAAGAATCAGAAATTTTAAAAGCAGGGCATGATTTCTATAAAAAACTATACACCACACAATCTCCAGACCCCACCAAAGTAAACGATTATTTAAGCAATACAGTTTTGGAAAATAAAATAAATAAAGACACAAGTAAACTATGCGACGGTCAACTCACAGTAAAAGAATGTACAGACGCTGTAAAAAATATGAAATTAAATAAATCGCCAGGGCTAGATGGTATAACAGCAGAATTTTATAAAACTTTCTGGAACGAGCTTAAAGACATAGTTATACAATCACTAAATGCAGGTTACACAAAAACTAAATTATCAGCCTCACAACAACAGGGTGCAATAACACTCATATATAAAAAAGGAAACCCAGAATTACTAGAAAACTGGAGACCGATCACACTATTAAATTTTGATTATAAAATAGCAGCGTATGTATTGGCAAAACGTCTTCAAAAAGTATTACCATCCATCATTAGCTTGGATCAACAAGGTTACTTAACAAATAGATATATCGGTTATAATATCCGTCGAACACAAGATATCATTGATTATGCAGACCAATTAAATATAGAAGGGGCAATCCTTTTCTTAGATTTCAAAAAAGCTTTCGACACATGTGAGTGGGACTTTATGGTTAAAACTTTAAAAACATTTGGATTTAATAACTCTTTCATCTCATGGATAAACACTTTGTATTCAAATAGTTCTAGTTGTATGTTAAACAATGGGTGGAAATCAAAATTTTTTAAAATAGAAAGAGGCATAAGGCAGGGTTGTCCGGCCTCGGCTTTAATTTTCGTAGCCATAGTTGAAATCCTAGCCCTTAATATCCGCAATAACAACAATTTAAGAGGGATAAAAGTAAAGGGGTTTTTGAAAGAACAAAAAATAAGCCAGTTAGCAGATGACACCACCCTGTTTATAAGTTCACCACACCACATACCAATAGCGTTGCAAATAGTATTAGAATTTGGGGAGGTATCAGGCTTAAAATTAAATAGAAACAAAACTGATGGTCTTTGGATTGGAAAACTAAAAAATTCTAAAAGAAAGATAGGCGGAATAAACTGGCCAGAAGAACCAATAAAGTCACTAGGGGTATATTTCAGTAATAAAAAAAATGAATGTGAAAAGCTTAACTGGGATGGAAAAATTACAAATACAAAAATATGTCTCAATATGTGGCAAAGAAGAGATCTAACTTTTATTGGTAAAACAGTAATTATTAAAAGTATTATATTACCCAAATTTACATACCTTGCACAATCTTTGATAATTCCCAAAAAAGTAATAATAGAACTGGAGAAAACTATGTACAACTTCTTATGGTCTGGGAAAAGAGAAAAAATTAAACGAAAAACCCTAATTGGACAAGTGATATCTGGAGGGATAAACTTTCCAGACTTGGAAGCATATTTTACAAATCTAAAAATAAAGTGGGTCAAAACTCTAATAAAAGAAAACACTCTTGCGAACTGGAAAATCATACCAAGCTACTATTTAAACAAATATGGGAAAGACCTGCTTATTTTTAAAATGAATCTAGACCAAATTAAATCTCTACCAAAAATAAAAGAAACACCATTATTTTATCAGGAAGTTATAAAAGCTTGGATTACACTGGGTGGAGGACAAACGAAAAATTATCTCAATCAGCTGGAAATAAGAAAACAACCAATATGGGGAAACAAACATATCAAAATCAAAAATAAAGTACTAATTTTTACTAACTGGATTAACTCAGGTATACTACTAATTGATGATATTTTTGAGAATGGTTCCATCTCTCAAATAAAGATTTTATCAAACTTAAAAAACAAAAGAAACTGGATGTCAGAACTAACCCAATTAAAACAGGCTATACCGAAGGAATGGATGAATAAACTCAAACTTACACCCTACCCAACATTACACTACAAAACACAATTGAAAGTTTTAGACAGCACTACCGATAAAACAATCTCTATAGAACAGCTAAACAGCAAAACTTCCTACGGCATATCAATAAAACAGAAATTTATCAAACCCTGTATATATGAAGCGTGGAATAAAACATTTGATACATCTATAAGAAAATCAAGATGGTCTGAAATATCAGAATTCATATTCAAGAAAATACACGATAACAGAATTGTTCAATTTAAATATAAACTTATTAATCAAATAGTTCCTACACAGCAACAACTTGAAAAATGGAAAATTTCAAACACCCCAAATTGTAAACATTGTGGGAAATGTGAAGACTATAAGCATTACTTTGTAGAATGCTCCTATTTAAAAACGTTTTGGGAAAAGATAAATTCAGCAATGTCAACATGTAAAATAAACAAAAGCAGAATGTTAGAATTTATAGTAATGGGAAACAACATCAGCGTCCCTGTATATGAAACACCCAACATTATATATACACTAATAGGATACTCCATTTACAGAACATACCACATAAGTGAATGCAAAACCTTATCAATAAATGTTATAAATATATTGAAACAAGATCTGGAAAACTATTTATGGAAAACGAAATCAATACAACAGAAAAAAGACCTGAACCTTTTTTCTTCTAGCATCTGATACACTAGTTAATATAATGATAACGAAATATTGTAGGCCAGAGTGTTTCTAGTATATACCTACTCATCATAGCGATCCACATTTCTACTTTCTGTTCTAGCGTAACGAGTTCCGCGTCTTCACAGAAACAAATAAGCTGATCTTACATTACAGCTTCATCAATATCAACCCCCAAAAAACCCTTTCACAATAGAAAATTCAAAACAAACATGTTAGGCATACTCGAATGATTTACAAGCACGTTTAGGACTGCCTTATATTACCACAGCGCGGCGTGTTTCCATCTTGCAACTATTAATACTATTAACTCAGACAAGCAAATACAGGGGTCATTTCAAAAATAATTGTATATGGAACGTAGCGTATAGGGTATGTCAGAGTGTGTAGACGCACATGTGAGTGACTACAGGTAAGCGAACAGGTAAGACACAGTCGCGGCTCAATGCGACAGGTACAGTTGTATGTGACCGTGGTAATTGATATTTCAATATTTTCGTTAAGGATCTCACCCGACACGTCGGTTGTATTTTTCTGATGCCTCAAAATGAGAAATGTCTATTCATTGGGAAAGGAGGGGTGGATATATGTTTACTTCAGAAATATCCCAGCTCCAGGGAAATCCCTGGCGTCCTTCAAATCCTCATAGATTCATGACTGTGTGTCAAAACATGGCCTCTTATTCACAAAGCTGAAACTAAATTATACAAAGAAAATGTGATTTTGCTCACCGCTTGAACTAACACCAAACGATCCTTTGTAGATACTGCACACGTTACAAAAGTACTTATGGCAACAATGAAACATGTGGTTTTATGAACATCCCTCATGTCGGTTGCACAGCTTAGAAAATATTTCCAGTCGGTGTCCTCACGACGCTTTAATTGTCAATAACACGGTATCGAACAAACGGAAATACAATGTACCTGACGGACATTAAAACCTAGCATCCTTATTCACAATCTCTGTCCGAAGGCCAGGGATGTTGTGGGCTATTGTAAAAGTACCGTACATGGGCTTAGCTGGAAGCTTTATTTTGTGTGCATTTACAAACAATATATGTGTATATATACGTATCGAGTCTTACAGTATCGGGTCCAGTGAAGCATAACACAGCCTTTGCTCGCGTATACTGTACATGTATAAGCTCATTTGGTATGGAAACACAGAACTTTCAAAGATACAGGTCGATGAGGATATGGACACGTCGTTGGTCGCCATCATGATAGCATGGGGAAATATGCTTTTTCCCACTTCGGGTGATATCAAGCTTGAAGTTTTGTTCATGTAACTTAGTGTGCCATTTGGTTTTGTCACTTTCAGATTTCTCGGAAGAAACATGGATTTTTTTTTAATTTGATTTGACTTAAATTTGAATGACGGGGTCGTCGATGAAGCAGAACGTTCCAGAAGACCTGTCGTATTCTTATTGTTTTTTCCCACAAATATTTATATAAATTTTAACTTTGTTCATGTTTAAGCTTAGCCCTAGTTACAATATATTTTGTTAGTTCATGGTTTTGTTGCTTTTTCGGTAATCTCTTATTGTTTTCAGTATTGTAGAAATACGTTTACACAGTGCCAAACACATTCATGTATATGTTAAGCGTTATATACGCTTCCAATTTATAAAATCATTCCGCCATGAGTCACTATAACTGAATGTCGATGTAGCAACACCTGCGACATGACATTTTTGAGGACATTAATTAAAGAATGAAACATTTATTCTGATCAATAGACTTTACACTTCACGTGTGACTGTTTAGAAACAACAGGCGGTAAAAGCAATAAGAGAGATGATTTGTCATTTAAGGACGGCCTCCTCTGTGTGCAAGATGCATGCTTGTAAGTTTCAAGTTTTCAAGTTTTATTTTTACACTCACGCCATACGTATACGTGCGTAACAAGAGGTCACATATTACATAGTATACATTGATGGACATATTACACACATAATATGACACATGATACAATGTATACAATAACAACCCATTTCAATAATTCTTTTAGCTAACTTATTTTAGATATCAAGTAACTTCATTACTCTTTGTATAAATTTGCTTACTTTTTTTTAAAAGTACCGTTTTACATATTGAGAACATTCTTTTCATTTTGATATAAGTTGGGTTGACATAATAATAATTTGGTAGATACATTAGTAAATTGGTATAAGTAGTGGTATTCGTCCCCAACACAGTTATTACATAGGGGACATAACCTTTCCTCGCGTGGGACTCTACTCCATCTTCCTGTTTCTATAGGAGATATGGTTCAATATTAAACTGAAATTTGAATAAGGAGTAAACTTGCCCTCGCGAGGAGGTTTCAACATCATGAAACCAACTTTGAATGAATTGATCGCATACTCTCTGCTTAATGATAGTTTTCAAGCATTGTTTATTAATTGTACATGATATTTGGAAAGTCCATAAATTATTAAATCCCAGTATTGTTTAAAATATCTCGTATATACGTTATATATATATATATATATGTAGTGTATGCTTGTGTGTTTTGGGCGGCTGTGATATGTTCATGTGTGTCTCCTTGTGATAGCGCGGAGATATTTACATGGAAACCCTTGCATCACTAAAAACATATTAAGACCAAATGTTTCGGAATAATAGGCGTCTTCTGCCTCATTGAAGACACCCGCCACGTAGAACTTAACATCGAAACTCGTTTAACAGAGCAAATATATTCAATGTCTGGTAGACGTTAGCGAAAATGTGCAATCATTACGTAGGTTCAGGTATATCAGATATGTGATATATCAGTATTCTACCCTCGAGTATAGAACTAAACCTCGGGTGTAGAATTTGGACAAGAACCTTTAGCCTCGATTTTGACCAAAATTTTACACTCTAGAGTTAAATTCCATATCTTGAATACCGCCACGTCATGGGCACTCTTAAATATTTCGTAATTTTTTGTAAGTCATAATGCATAGTTAATAATACTCTTATAATTATTTTGTTTGCATAAAAGGATATAGATGAAACACAACTAAATATATTTATTTATCAACGTTCGCATTATTAACAATGACGCCTGGCAACGCTTAAAAAAATAAAAAATAAAATAAAAATAAAACATATTGACGCATATACGTTAACACCTGCTCCATAAATCGCCCCAGTGACCAAATCAACGCATGTAACAAAAACAATTGAATAAATAAATAAATGTGGGCTACTGCTGATGACATAGCTGACATTTCGGGCGGATTGGTCGAGTGGTTAACACTTCGGTCTTCCACGCAGGCGGCAGGGGTTCGATACCCGAAGTCGTCGCACGCATGGAATATCAGAGAAAGTGTTTTTCTCCTGCCCACACAACTCCAACAACCCAGGTGAAGTATAAAATGGTTTGGGGTGGATGTTGCGGTATCTCTGATGTAGCATTCAAGTGAGCTCGAGGTGGCACTAGAAAAGAAAAGATGCCGTTGGAAGCACGGTCCCACTACAAACAGAACAAAATACATCTCCAGCACACACGCAGGCATACACACAAAGGGAGATATCAGCCAGGTGGCATAGTACTAGTAGTTAGCGCCTGATAAGGCAGCTCCTGCGAATTCCTCAAAAATTGTATATCCTAATTGTATTAATTGTATATCTATGTACTGTAAAGCGCTTTAGAGTGGCTTATGTTAGCTGGATAGGGCGCTATATCAAATGTTGTATATCAATATTAATTAATTAATCTTATTCTGCCAGGTGGGTAACGTAGTGTTTCGGGGAGTCACAGGGCATGGTAACTTATACCCTACACTGCTGATTTCGTTATGCAGTGTTTCAAATAAAACAAGGCAAAGTATTGTGAGGCAATCTATAGTCCCCCACCAGAAATGAAATTTATATTTAACAAACAGTACACTCATGTCAGGATGTATACCCGCTGTTCAAAGCAAAGGTCATTGTGAGTTCATATTGACCTATTTCTTGCACTCACCATCCCAAGATGTCCTTGCATACAAAAACCGGGTACACCAGGTGAAATAGAATAAAATATATGCCTCGGACAAACATATTTTAAAGTAAAGGTCAAAGGTCAATCCATAGGTCAAAGTGACCTAATTCTTGCGCTCTGCGCTCCGCTATCCCTAGATGTCCTTGTACACCAAATCTGCTTACTCCAGGTGAAATAGTAAAGAAAGTATGCCCCGAACAAACTTCTTGGACGGAAGGGCGAAAGGACGCAATGCAAACCTATAGAACCCCACCACCACCCCACCCCCTGGGGAATTCATAATGGTAGAGCTTAGAGAAAAATGTATTCATTTACACTATAGAAAAAAAAATCAAATTGAAATTAATGGTCTTTTATCATTATGCAACAAGAGAGTATTAAATAAAACATGCCTTTTGTTGGAAAAAGTAATAAGCTGTTGTAAACATATATTACACTTATTATTAAAGAAACAATCAACATATGTGCGTGCATTATGGTGGAATAAATATTTTTTTATTAAATTCGTTTAGTACCCGCATTATTTTTAGATGTAAAACAAATTTGATATATATTTTGAGCAAAGTGATATATACATTGTAGGACAGTCATTTTTCAAAAGAAGCATTGAAAACACATTGCTTTTGTAAATAAACCGTGCTGTCCTTGTCGTATAGTGTCCCGTAGGAAAACACTGAACTTCAAATGGTAAAAAGCCCCGCGCCGACCCAACACACCCTTTTTATACACACGCGTACACGCCCCTTTCACATCATCGCTCACATGCATGCATTTCACACTTGGACCCACTTCCAGGACAACAACCGGACAAACAGGTTACAGACAAATATAGACAGGACTCACATGGAAGCTATAAATAATCATCGGGAAATACCCTATTACACACAGACAGCAGGACACTCCCTGTAAACAGTAACGCACATAAACAACGAAATGACACTACGACATGTAAGTACGTGCCTTCAAAGGGCGACTTAAAATCTATATTTGCCTTAAAACACATTGTGAACATCACTTACCTTACATAAAGTATATTATCATACATGAAACGTACAGTGTAAAACTTGCTGTGTTTATCTCAACAGATAGTAAAGCTGCAGGCGATAGCAGAGTAGGAATAATGCTCCAAGTGAGTATACATGTACTGGCGCTGTTGGTCCTTGTACAGGTCACACTCAGCATTCTCCTATACCGAGGCAGACGTTTCCTTCCTTCAGCTTACAATGCAGTTTCCACCATCGACGATGATCTATAGAAATGATAGTACCAATACATACAAACCTTAAATAATAAATTACAATGCTTTCGGAGACATCTTTAGAAAGAAAATGAAAACTATTCAAATGACATTACGGTAGTCCTCGTCAAGAATGAGAATGATCAACCACACCAAAATAACATACACCTTATTTCCAAGTGCCCTCGACACTCTCAGCACAAGCCTTATAACAGACACTGGAAATGATTTAACCAAATCAGTGTCACATGTATGATTTATCTATCGGCTTGCTTGAAACTTAAACATGTGGCCATTATGATCCATACGTTTGAACGACCTATGGGATTTCGAACAGCAAATGTAATGACTTTCTTGCTGTTGTGTTTAAAATCCTTTACAAGATATGCAGCAATTTCATTGTCTTTTTATTTATAGACTTCGAAATCCCATCTAAATGAGTTTCAAATTTGCCAGAGCCATGTTTTGTCGTGATTTATTGCAATGGTCTGATTTCAAATAAATGGATTTTAGGAATTAACTTTACCCCAAGTTCAGTTCATACATAAAAATAACCGTAGTTACTTTTAAGTAATCAGTCAAAAAAAAGCAGGACAGTTTATAGTTGTTTCACAAATGCTGACTTTAAGAATCTTTGTCCAACTGCATGCAAAGCAATGAAGAATTCCACTGTGGATTTTCATAAATATTGTTACCTCATTTTAATTTCGTTTTGAAATACATCGTAGTTGTAGTGGGATTTGGCAAGAGGACTGCCCAGTTGTTAAAGCGCCCGAATTGGGTTCGGAGGTCCAGAGTTTGAATCTCAGTCTAGACCCGTTTGAAAATTGACAGATTTAAACTATTGTCATGTCGTTAAAAAAGGAAAAATATAATTTCCGGTTTCAATTTTCGCATTGGTACGGTGGTTTTATAAGACAGCTAAATGTCACGGACCCAACTCATGTCTTAAACTATTTTCTATTAAATTAATCCGTTTTGTTTTT